ATTCTTATTAGAACATTGCCTAGGACATTTGTTCATTCATTAAACCAACACATCTACTATGTGACAAGCACACTGACCTTGAAATATCAAAATGAATAAATCATGGTCCCTGCCTTACAGAATTTAAAGGCTAATGAATGGGTGGATGGACGGAGAGATAGATGGATGGATAGATAGATGGTAGACTGATGGGCAGTGAAGGATGGATAGGTGAATGGCAAATAGCAATCCAAACCCTTTCTGCCAGAAAACTCTCCCTAGCTCATCTAGCTTCTCCTTTAAATTTTTGAGGACCAAAATAGTCTTCGACAAAGCAGGAAAAAATATACAGTGGAAAAAAGACAGTCTCTTCAATAAATGGTGCTGGGAAAATTGGACAGCTATATGGAGAAGAATAAAACTTGACCATTCTCTTACACCGTACACAAAGATAAACTCGAAATGAATAAAAGACCTCAGTGTGAGATAGGAATCCATCAGAATCCTAGAGGAAAACATAGGCAGTAACCTCTTCGATATCAGCCACAGCAACTTCTTTCAAGATATGTCTCCAAAGGCAAAGGAAACAAAAGTGAAAATGAACTTTTGGGACTTCATCAAGATCAAAAGCTTCTGCACAGCAAAGGAAACAGTCAACAAAACAAAAAGGCAACCCACGGAATGGGAGAAGATATTTGCAAATGACAGTACAGACAAAAGGTTGATATCCAGGATCTATAAAGAACTTCTCAAACTCAACACACACAAAACAGATAATCATGTCAAAAAATGGGCAGAAGACATGAACAGATACTTCTCCAATGAAGACATACAAGTGGCTATCAGACACATGAAAAAATGTTCATCATCACTAGCCATCAGGGAGATTCAAATTAAAACCACATTGAGATACTACCTTACACCAGTTAGAATGGCCAAAATTAGCAAGACAGGAAACAACATGTGTTGGAGAGGATGTGGAGAAAGGCGAACCCTCTTACACTGTTGGTGGGAATGCAAGTCGGTGCAGCCACTTTGGAGAACAGTGTGGAGATTCCTCAAGAAATTAAAAATAGAGCTTCCCTATGACCCTGCAATTGTACTACTAGGTATTTACCCCAAAGATATAGATGTAGTGAAAAGAAAGGCCATCTGTCCCCCAATGTTTATAGCAGCAATGGCCACGGTCAACAAACTGTGGAAAGAACCAAGATGCCCTTCAATGGATGAATGGATGAGGAAGATGTGGTCCATATACACTATGGAGTATTATGCCTCCATCAGAAAGGATGAATACCCAACTTTTATAGCAACATGGACAAGACTGGAAGAGATTATGCTGAGTGAAATAAGTCAAGCAGAGAGAGTCAAGTATCATATGGTTTCACTTATTTGTGGAGCATAACAAATAACATGGAGGACAAAGGGAGATGGAGAGGAGAAGGGAGTTGAGGGAAATTGGAAGGGGAAATGAACCATGAGAGACTATGGACTCTGAAAAACAATCTGAGTGTTTTGAAGGGGTGGGGGTTGGGAGGTTGGGGGAGCCAGGTGGTAGGTATTATGGAGGGCACATATTGCATGGAGCACTGGGTGTGGTGCATAAACAATGAATTCTGTTACACTGAAAAGAAATTTAAAAAAAAATTTTTTTGAGGACCAAATCCACAACACTTCAAGTAAAAAACCTACAGATGCAGAACAACTTTACATTGACCCCCAAGTCAACGCAAGAAACCATGGGCAACAAGGAGCCTGAGTCCTGGAGCTTCCACCAAGACCCTTCATGGAGACAGCCCTACACTCCCAGCCTTCTCCTCATGGGATACAGAGGTAACTATTCAGTCTCTACCTTCAACAGAGCAAACAGATGGAGCAGATGCTAAAATGGCCTCTTCCCATGGGGTGCCTGGGTGGCTCAGTGGGTTAAAGTCTCTGCCTCCGGCTCAGGTCATGATCCCAGGGTCCTGGGATCAAGCCCCGAATCAGGCTCTCTGCTCAGCAGAGAGCCTGCTTCCCTTCCTCTCTCTGCCTGCCTCTCTGCCTACTTGTTATCTCTGTCTGTCAAATAAATAAATAAATAATCTTTAGAAAAATAAAATAAAATGGCCTCTTCCCTCAGCCTGTTCCTTCCTTTAAAAAAAAATTTTATTTATTTATTTATTTATTTATTTATTTATTTATTTATTTGACAGAGAGAACAAGAGAGCATAAATAGGCAGAGAGGCAAGCAGAGGCGGAGGGGGAAGCAGGCTCCCTGCTGATCGGATCCTAGGACCCTGAGATCATGACCTGAGCCGAAGGCAGAGGCTTAACCCACTGAGCCAACGAGCCACTGCCCCTGTTCCTTCCTTTGGTCCCAGGATGCCCATCATTACCTTGTCCTAGAGGGTAATAAGGGGGGACAAAACTCCGTTAGTTATTTCCCTAGATACCTATTTCACTAAACCTTGACCAGCACCCAAGATATAGTAGTTGATCTGCCTTATTCTGAGGTCCTCTGGTGTTAGAATCCAAAGCCTGGGTCCCAACAGAAAGCCAAACCAAAATCCCGCAATGGGGCAACATTAAATAAACCCCTCTTTGCTGTATCCTTCAGTTTCACTGCTGACAAAGGAGAGAGACTTCAGAAGTGTTGGCAAGAATTTTCCAAAGCCAGAAGACTGGACCCAGAGCAGAAGGTCTTGGTAAAGGGAAAGTGACCTAAGCAAATGAGGCCATTGCTTGGGAGCCAGGAGCCTGAGCCAAACCACCTGTGAGGTTGTAGCCAAGGCTAGAAGTCAAGAGCTTGGAGAGTGAGGGTCAGACCAGATGACTCAAATAAACTGAGTTAAAGATCTGCCAACCCACATTTGGGCCATTATAATGTGAGAAGTGATTTTAGTAGGCCTCAAGGTAAAGCATTTTGGAGGGTATTGAGCATGTGGGGCCTACCAAGGGGCAGGTAATGCAATCTGTGTCTCCATAGTTCCCTTGAACACGAAGAACTGGCAGGATCCAATTCAAAGGATCTAAGAGAAGAGCCATGTTTATTATCTCAGGAGTGGATTTTCCCCTTCAGATAATCCCTTTTGTATAGCCAGGCAGTTCCAAACCTATGGATCATGGCCAGGATCCACTCCCCTGGACTGTTTTGGTAATAGAGGCCAACAAGAATGTTTTCCGTCTCTATGTAAACTAGGAGTCTTCTTTATAGAAATAAAACATAAACATACCCATGTAGCCGCTTGCCTACAAAAACATTTATTCTAAGATACACACCCACTCGATCTGAGTTTCCTATGTAAAGCATTATATTGAACCCCACTCGAGCTGACTACTTCCACACTTTGCTTGCTCAGAGGGCATGAGAAATTCATTAACCTGCCCCCAGCTTCTCAGTGTGGCCCACCAAAACCTGCACCTTCCTGGTAGGTAAACTTCAGAAGTCTCTCCCCTGGCACCAACCCTTGACTCCTCCTCCCCACCAAGAAACTCAGAAAAGAGCCAATTCAGCATTTTCCCAGGGGAGGGGCTGTTGTGGTGGGAAAAAGTCAAAGACTTCCTCCTCTGACACCAGGACAAGACAATGGTGAGATTAGGGCAGGGCTTCTGAAGGACCAGCCTTCCAGCCCAGGAAGCACAAGCCCCTGAGATTAACCCTTTGTTAATCTCTGCCCTTGCTGCCCTGAGCCTGTCTCCGGGTCTGTGAGAAGGACACATGGGCAGGGACTGGCCTTGGGCAAACTGTGTGTCCTTCTGTCTGCACAGAATAAAGGCCCAATGGGCACTGTGCTAGAGGGATTGGAGTCTGAATGAATTGCCTGGCAGTCCAGGGTAGGAAGCACCAATTGGGTGGCCAGGGAAATGAGTGTATTCTGCATCTGCAGTAGGAAGGATTTAGGTCAGACCACAAGAGGAGCTGTACAGGAAAATTATGTTCCTCCAGGTATCTTGGAACTGGTCCACTATGGAAACAGGGCATCCACAAAGGACACAGATCCTCACCTCTGCCTGTCCTCACCCCATTCTTCATTTCTTCAATCATAATCTCCAGAACTGGTCCCAATCAGGCAGCTTCACCTGGCAGCTTCTTACCACTCTAGCAAACCTGCCTCCCCTCTCCCACACCCCTACCACTCAGGGACAGCAATATAGACATAACCCCAGACATAACCACCCAAGATGGGAAAGTGAGCACAGCATGAAATCTGTGAGGATGACATGCTTCCAGCCCTCCATCCAGCAATCGGGACCTTGTTGATTCTTGAAACAAGTTCCCGAAAGCCTTGCTGGTTCAGTAGGATTGAGTCCTCCACATAGAGTCTCATGAAAATAGGGAAGCCTTGCTAGATGCTAAGTATAAACTCTCCACAAGCTCCCTAACCCCCATTCCATATTCAGTGGAAACCCCCTAACTGCCTCTCCTCAATTCCTTCCCTCCAGATTCACTGCAGGCTCAGCACAGAGATGGTCCTGTTCTGATTTCCTATCATCTTTATGTCATTGTTGGTTGTTTTGAGTCTGTGACCCTCTTCTATAGGCAGGTTTCAGGCTCCACACACTGCATTTCTCCCTCAAATTAGTTGATGACCTTGATCTGTGCAGACAGATCCTTCAGCCCCCAGCCTCCTCTACTCCCACCTGAATTCTAGAAACTTCTCCCCAGGGAACAAGGACAATGGCTCAGAGTGAATGATAAAAGCGTTTTATTAAAGATTCACCCAAAGATGGATAGAGGGAAGGAGAAGGGGTGGATGGGACACTGAGGGGTTCCTGTCCTGACCTTGCAGGGCCAGTTGCTGCCAAGTGACAGAGGAGTTTGGTCCTGATGTAGAGGCATATGGGATCCTGGGTTGGGAGGGGGCATACATGACCTTGATGATTCTGGAGATGAAGCTCTTGATTGTGTTCTCCTCTGACCATGGGAGGTAAAGAGTCAGACACTTCCCATTCCAGGTGGATCACCAGGCCCAAATCAAGAAGAAACTACCAAACTCCAAGAGGGCAGAGCCCACACTGTGATGAGCCCCAGAGAGGGAGGGTGGAAGTGAGGGTGAAAGAAGCACAGAGACACCAGGGCTGGGCCCAGCTGGGCTCAGGGACTGCAGGGACCTCATCTCCTCTATCGGTGGGATCTCTTGGTCATAGTGGTGGTAGAGATGATCTTGCTGCCAGAACTGCCACAAACACCACCACCAAACCCAAAGCCACTTCCGGAGCCAGAGCCAAAACCACTGCCCAGGCCAAATCCAGAACAGCTTCCTAATCCTCCGCCGATGCCCCCGGCCCTAGTGCCACCACTAACCACAGCTGTAAGAGAGAGGCAGAGGATATGGTTATTCCAACAATACTGTCAATCAGGGGTCTCTCACCAAACCAGGGTGAACAAACAGCCATAGCAGGGGCAGAAGGTACTTACAGATGCTCATGGCACTCTGGCATTCTCCAGATATTCTATGAGGGAGAGAAAGATCAGTGAGTCAGTAGAACCCTGCACCATGCTTAGTTCAACAGGTCTCAAGCACCTATCCCATCCTTATGCAGTCAGATTAAAGGACTGAGTGAACCTGTTGTCTACTGCCCTGCATTGTAATGCACCCATGCGGTAATGAAGCAGGTGGTCCAGAAGAGGTACAAACTCCTGGTACTGAGGTCTCTCCCTCCCTCACATTCCTGGCCTGCCTTCCCTATCCCACCTGCACTCCTCGCCCTCCAGCAGCTTGCGGTAGGTAGCGATCTCCACATCCAGGGCCAGCTTCACACTCAGGAGCTCCTGGTACTCGCGCAACATCCGGGCCAGCTCCTCCTTGGCCTTCTTCAGGGCTGTCTCCAGTTCTGTGCACTTGCTGTAGGCATCTTTGAGGGCCAGCTCCCCACGTTGCTCTGCATCAGCCACAGAAGCTTGCAGAGTCTGGCACTGTAGACAATGGCAATGAAGGGGCAGTCATCAGCGTCCTGCTGTCAAGGCCTCTCCACCTGTCCTCTGTCCTGCACCAGCTTTTCTTGGGTTAGGATACCAGGATTCTGTTTGTCCTTCTCCCCACCTACTCTACTCTTAGGCATTTCATTGACTCCAGCCAGGCCCACCAATGTCTCCACCAGACTGATCAGATGGAGATGAGCAAAAAAACAATGAAGAGTCAAGAAACCTTATTTATCAACGTGTCATGTCAGGTTAAGTAGGGTATTGTTGAAAAGACCTGGGTATGGCTTATATAAGGAGTCACAAAGCCCCTTCATGCAAGCTCAGGATCTTCTGGCCTGAGGCCTGATCTTCTTATCTACTATGGAGTGGAGACACCCATCTTAGGCCTCCGGCATCATACCATGGCCAGAAAATGGTGATACTTACCTGCTTCTTGACATTCTCAATCTCAGCCCTCAGCCTCTGGATCAACCTGTTGAGCTCTGAGATCTCACTCTTGGTATTCTTCAGATTGTCACCATGTTGGTTAACCGAGATCTGTAGCTTCTGGACCTAATATCCAGGAAAACACAGGGAATGAGGGGTCAAGTGTGTTTGGGTAGGGTCTGTTCTCAAGTCAACTCAGCAAGAATAGGCACAATAATGGTGGCAAGGATAATACAAAATGTCATACAATCTCAAATCAGATGAGGATCAGAGATTCCTGGGTGATTAGTTCATCTCTGACTTTTGGGCTTGAGCTGTGATCACCTGTTCACAAAAATCAAAAGCAGAGCCCCAGAAACCCCAGGGAGAGATCCCTGACACCCACCTTGATCTGGACCAGGGCTTCAGCCTCAGCCTTGCTCTTCTGGGCAATCTCCTCATACTGGGCACGGACCTCAGCAATGATGCTGTCCAGGTCCAGGTCCCGGTTGTTGTCCATGGACAGGACCACAGATGTGTCTGAGACATGCATCTGCATCTGGGATAGCTCCTGCAGGGAAAATATCACATGTCAGGCCCCCAGAGAGTCTTCCCTAATCTCTGACACCAGAAATCCTCTGTGGTCATGGAAATGGCCATGCCACAGGCTCAGATGGAAGCAGAGATGGCTGGCATCCCAGTGTGTAGGGAGGTGGAAGAATGGTAAGCTTCTATGTAGAAATCAAGGGATTGATGACATTTCAAGACAGAAAAGTAATGCTTCTAGTCTTCACTGGCTCTCTGGGATCCATAAGCCACCCCATGTCAGCAGATTTCAGTACACTGAATAGAAGGGAATGGAATGAATTCATATTACCAGGGAAATGCTAGACAGCAAGAAATTCTATCCCATGCAATCTTGAGATCTAATGACCCCTTTGAAGACAACATCTGGTTTTAAAAACCTCCTCGCTGAGTCTCTCACTTCAACTCTATCTCTGAGCTTGCTGAGAGCACCCTCAGCAAGTAAGGGAGCTGGAATCCTTTCAAAGAACTGTGACTTCCCACCACAGCCTCACAGATTTGGGATTCCCTTCTTCAAATGCAGGGGGATGGAGTCCTCACCGCAGCAAAGAGGACCCTCAAGAAGTTGATCTCATCGTTCAGAGCATCCACCTTGGCCTCCAACTCCACCTTGCTCATATAGGCGGCATCCACATCCTGCAGAGGAGGCAGGGAAGAAAGAGACAAGGTACAGAAATTCCAATAGGGGCAAGGGGGTGTTAAGTGACACACAAAGGTGTTCTCAGCAGCATTTAGGAAAGACATCTCAGCACCAGGAAAAGTGGCAAGGGACTAATCATTTGATGTCCTCTGCCCTAAATCCAACTGCAGAAATGGAAGTTAATGATCCAAATGGGCATTTTCCCCAACTTCAATTCCTTATGGTCTGGTTCAGTTACCCCCTCCTTTAACCACATAGATCTGGATAGTACCAAGTGGGATAAAGGAGAGGCCAAGATGGACCAAACACATGATTCAAGCCAAAGACCACTCCTGAGGGAAAGGGTACCCTCACAGCCCCTTTGGCCCCTCCTTCATGTCTTACCTTCTTGAGGACCACGAAGTCATTTTCTGCAGCTGCACGCTTGTTGATCTCATCTTCATACCTGGGGGTAGAGGTGGGAAGGAGAAGACAGAAACCCCACAATGAGCTGGTATTTCCTGGACTTCTGCTGCTGGGTTTCAAACACCTAACTCTTTGGAAATATCCAGGTAATTATCTACATTTTCCCATTTTCATACAAATATCCATTCAACCTACATTTATAAGTTACATGCATGAGATACCAGTCTAAACCTGAGTTTATTCAGAGATGTGAAAAATCAAACTTAATAAAGACTATTTCCCAGATACAAGGTGGGAGGAGGACAAACAACCACAATCTGGTTGGTTTTATTTCTGTAGAAGGGCTGTCCATTTGGTGGATTCAATTATCAGGAAGGTTGCCAACACCAGTTCTCTTTCTTTGTTGTGAGAATGAATAGAGAGAGGCTGCTGGGATTATCTCAGCTCTGTAATATTAAGAGCATATTAAGAACTACTATGTGTTAAACACTCATTATGTCCAGTGTTATGCTATCTGATTTCTCAATCTTACTTAATTTCACTTAATCCTCAAAAGCTAGCATTATTATCACCATTTTAAAGATGAAGAAAAGCAAGGCTAAGAGAGGTTAAGCAAGTTACCCAAGAGCACATAACTAGTAACTAGAGGACTCAGTATTCAAACAAGGTCCATCTGTCTCTATAACCTGTATTCTTCTGACTATGCTACACCTCTGCTCATCTGTATGGTTTCTGATCTTGCTTGTATATGGCAAGGCCAACTCCCTGAACATATCACTCATTTTCTGTTTGAGGCAACTCAGAGTTACAAGACCTCACCCCATTAAAAAGGGCCCATGTAGATGCAGGAGAACAAACTAGAGAACCTTCCTGACCCTTTTGGGATCTCTTCAGAGCTGGAATTCTAAATGACTAGACAGGAGCCCAAGAGCCTGGGGCATGGCTGGGTGGACTCTTTCAGGCAGCATCCTTCTTTCCTCTGCACATACTTGGTCTTAAAGTCCTCCACGCTGTCCTGTGTGGTCTTCAGCTCAGACTGCAAGCTTCCTTTGTCATTGACCAAGGTATCCAACTGCTTCCTCAGGGCAGTGATGTAGGCCTCAAAGAGATGCTCAAGGTTTTTGCTGGATGTAGTGGTTGTCTGCTGCTGGAGGAGGTTCCACTTGGTCTCCAAGACTTTATTCTGTTGCTCTAAGAACCGCACCTGTATTTTAAAAAGTCACCAACCAGCAGATAAGGGCCTGAAGCTTTGGCAGGAGAACTGCCCAAGACCAGCCAGGTGACTCAAGAGCCATGCAAGTAGGGCCATCATGTTGCCACTCCAGGTACCATCTACTGGGATCAAAAGGTGGCCCTGCTTCATGGCAGCAAATGGGCCACATGCGCTGTGGAGAACAGAGCATAGCCAGAGTCACAGAGCCTGACTATGCAGCAAGTACAACTTCTTGACCCCAGGGATCCAGAGGCCCTGGGGGGAAGGTGCCAAAGAGAACATTGAACTTTTAGGAAGTAATAAAATAAACAAAAGTAGGAGATACAACCACAGTCTGGGACTCTTGCATTTAAAGTGATCCTGACCTAAGGAAAAAGGAATGATGAATTCACTGACAAATTTTTAAATAAATGGACTTAGTGTGTCTCTTTAAACCTGTGTACAATGGAGTCTGAATAGTTAAGATCAAGGCCCTAGACACATTCTGAGTCTCAAGCCAGGCTCACCCTGCAAGGGGACTTCCTGGAACTCTCCCTCTCTCTACAAAGACATCTAACCAGATAAACCAGGGTAGCAGCTTGGCATGATATTCTCACTATGTGCTTCAGAGCTGAAAGAAAAGCAGGTTAGGGTGACTGATCACAGTCTGAACCCAAAAGGTGAGATGAGGGAAGATGAGACAAGGAAGCACAAAACCCTGGGTCTTACTTTTGTATCTGTATGTTCTGGAGTCACCATAAAGCCTCTTTAAGCTACTGATGACTTATTCAACGAGTAAGAAGAGCAAACACTGCCACTCAGTCTACTTTGAGATGGATCAGTCTTGCTCCATTCATCTAAGAAGACTAAAATGAATGTACAGAGAGCCAGGGCAACCTTGACTAAGTGGCTATACTCATCCACTCAGCCATTAACCTCTGGCTGACTCAGCAATCTGGGCTGATCTGCTTGCTATCATCCATCATACGTGGCTGCAATTAAGCTTAAAGAACTTGAATCTCTAGACCCTGCCCGGAAAAAGAAGCTGGATTACAAAAAGAAAAGGAGACATCCCTCTTCTCTTCAAACAGATCCAGAAATGAGCAATTTTTCCCAGCGTCAGGAAGATGAAGGAGATGACCCTCCAAGGTCCCAGACCTTGGAACCCAGAGTCTGTCATTGGCATCGATCCCCTTTTCATTTGGGAAACCAGCCTGGTTTTCTTCAGCTCCGACAACAGAAGTGCCAAGAGTTATGTTAACTATAATTCATTTTAGTTAATTATTAAATTATTAACCATGTCATTTCTGAAACCAAAATCTGAGAAAAAGGTGGGATGCCTGGATTCAGAAAAGTTGACCGATCTGCCCAGTATCCCACAGCACATCTAGGAAGACTCCAAACATTGCACTGGTCTGAGCAGCCTGTGCATTGGTCTCACCAGCCAAGCACAAAAGAGGAAGACACAAAAGAGGAAGGATTACCCTTTAACAGCTGGAACACAGAGGCCCTGAGTTCAGTGGTTTTTAACGCTGCGACAGGCTCAGTTCTGAGATCGCAGGACTCAGAAGCTCTGGTTTCTACCACCTTGTCTGGCCAAGGGGACAGCTCACCTTGTCGATGAATGAGGCAAACTTGTTGTTGAGGGTCTTGATCTGCTCCCGCTCCTCAGTCCGGACTTTCTGGATCTCGGGGTCGATCTCCACGTGGAGTGGGGTCAGCAGGCTCTGGTTGATGATGACCTCCTGAATCCCGCCAGCAGGGCAGGCAGGGAAGGCAGGACCACCCCGTCCACTGAAAGAACCCCCAAATCCACTACCAAAGTTGCCAGCACCAAAACCAGCTCCAAAGCTGCCAGGGCCAAAACCTCCAGCAGACCCAAAACCAGCGCCTTGTCGGGACCCAGCCATGCTGATGGCGATGCTCTTTCTCCCCCCAAGGTTGTAGAGGCTCCTGCTGCCGAAGCCTCCAGAGGAGCAGCGGCCGGTGCTCCCAGACACGGAGACTGAGCTGAATGTAGCCCTCTTGACCCCACCGACAATGGCTGAGCCACAGCTAAAGCCCTGGGACCTGCCTCGGACACACTGCTGTCTGGCCATCATGGCTGGTGAGAGCGAGCTTGGAGTTGTCAGAGAAATGTGAGGGGCCAGGCCTGTGAATGCTGCAGCCCTAGCCTGGGTCTCTTATATGTGCTGGGGCAGCAGGGCTTGGTTGCAGGGGCATAAAGGGAAAAATCTGAAACATCTCTGGGCTTGGCCTTTGGCACAGGCCCATCCTTCTCGTATCCTGCTGAGTATGTCACAAACACACCTACAGATGTCATTTGGAGGGCACCGTTTACAGGAGCGCAACACACTCCCCTCTGGGAGAACTTGAACCAGTGCCCCAGGGCCTCCTGAATCACACGCCCCTGCCCAGGCCCTGCCCTTTGGGCCTGCCACTCACTGCACTTCCATCTCGACAGCCTCCCCATGGCCCCCCAGCTCCCCATAAGATGGCCCGACCCATTGCCTTTTCTCTCACTCCACAGAGTTTAGAAACCAAGGGCCTGGATTCAAGGGCACAACCCACACTTATCCGCTCTGCAAACCTGGAGCAGTTCATCGTCTGGGGCTCAGTTGCTTCACCCAGAAATTGGAGACAAAACAAATATTTACCTTCACCACCTCTCAAGATACGAGATGGTCATCACTGTGAACTGTCAGAAGCTGAACCTGTATTTATTACCCCTCCATCTGCACTCGACCCCACATGCACCTACAAGAGAAGGAATCCATATTCCAGCCTTAGAGCCTTCCAAACCTAGATCAAGCCTCACCTCAACTTGACACAGTTGTTGAGGACCTACTGTGTGCCCGCCGCGGAGCTGGGGGTGGAGGAGAGTTAAGTCTGCCTCAGGCTCTCAAGACTCCCATTCCTTCTCCAGCCTCCGTTTGGGTCTGTGTTTGTAGGATTCTAGTGTAGATTCGAGTGTAGTGTTCTCCAGTCTAGGTTCCTATTGGGTGTGCGCCACTGCTCCATTTCTGCCCAGTTGTTTGCTAGACTCCACCAGGACAGAACATGTTCTGTTTTCCCATAATGGTCCCAATATTCAGGGTAGGAGTCTGTAACTCTTTTGGTGTGGAGGACCCCTTTGGCAGAATGGAGAAACCCATGAGCTCCTTCTCAGAGCAATGTTTTTAAATGCAAAATCCTAGTGTTAAGTTCTAACTTAAATTCTTCCCCACTGAGTGACATAGACCTGTGTTCAAATCCCATCCATTGTCACGGGTTAGCTGAACTCATTCAACCCATCCTCTCATCTATAAAGGGACCCTGCAGTGCCTCGCACACAGTAGGTCAGTGGACATTCATTCTTATCTGCCCAGACTTTGCCATTACCATTTAGGATGAGAAATTAGACAAATCTGTTTCCCTGCCTGTCTTCTAAAGCCCTGATAAGATTGTCATCCCCACTGATAAGATTCCAAATCTGAGGAATAGCAGTGATCGGGGCCTGGGTAATTCCCACAGGTCCAAGCTGACCCTGACTGCCTGAAAGCTGGCCACGGCAGAAAGGACCAGCCTCCCTGCAAAGAGAAAGGGCAGGGCCCATGGGGTGCAAAGAGGGAGGCCAGTGGATCTAGTTCTTGGGGACGGGGCTGCAGGGAAGACTGGGCCAGCTGGGAGCCCCCCTTCTCTCCCCACCACAACCCTTACCCCCTCCCTCTGCCCCCCTCTTGCCTCTACCTCTGGTCTGCACCCCTCCCTCGGCACCTCTCACCTCAGCCTCTGCTCAGCTCGACCCTCCCCTGCCCAGGAGACCTCTAAATAGATGAAGGGTGGGTGGAGGAGTCATGGCAGAGAGGCCAGGAGCCTAAAACAGAAAGCAACAGGGGGGCGTGCCTGGGTGGCTCAGTAAGTTAAGAATCTGCCTTCGGCTTGGGTCATGATCCCAGGATCCTGGGATCCAGCCCCACATCAGGCTCCCTGCTCAGCAGGAGGCCTGCTTCTCCTTCTCCCACTCCCCCTGCTTGTGTTCCCTCTCTCACCATCTCTCTGTCAAATAAATTAAATCTTAAAAAAAAAAAAAAGAAATCAAGGAAGGAAAGAAGGAGGGAAGGAAGGAAGGAAGGAAGGGGGAAGGGGTGGAAGGGATGGGGAGTGGGGATAATATGTAATATATAATCAATCTAATTTTGTGCCTGTGGGTATTTCTCAACTGAGGTACTTCTCATGAAGCTAAAGCTAAATCAAGGCACATACCATGCTCAGATAAAAAATAAGGGAAAGGCCATAGTGCTTTTTAGATAGAAGGGACTCTCATTTACAGCTGCCATTATGTGTTGGACACTGGATGCTGTTCTTAGAACAGTTCCATTCCTCACAACAACCCTGCAAAAGAAGTGTTGCTATGCTCAGTTTAGAGCTGCAGACACTGAGGCTCAGAGAGGTTTTGTAACTTGCCTGAGCTCACACAGCTAGGACGTGGTGACAGTGGAAAGCCAGACCTCTCTGTCTAACTGCAAAGCTTGTGACCTTAATGGCTACACTACAATGCTTTACATTAGCAACTCTTCCCCACACAGTAACTTCAGAAAAAACAATAACAACAACAACAACAAAAAAAAATATGGCAACTTCTACAGACCCATATCTTATGATCCACCAGAGCAGCAACAGGGTCTTGACCAGCTCACTGCATATTCTGCAGAACTGCTTCTGCTCCTTCTTTCCTTGCTTTTGTCACATGATTGGTTGCTTGGTGTAGGTGACCCTGTCTTTGCAAGTATCCAGTAAGGTAGGACATCGTCCCAAGGGGCAAATTCTAAGTCCTTCAATTAACCAAATCAAAATTAACTTACAAATTCTGCAATAAATCCAAACCGAACAGGAAGAACTTCTAGACCAAAGCCATATTCTGTGGCTTTATTAAGTCAGAATTTTCAGAAGTTCACACAACCGTCCAACAGCAGCCTGAGAAACTGAGGGCAGACATATGTTCAGTCTGCAAGAGAGATTTTGCCCTCGAGTGAGAGAGGCAATGATGAGTGAAAAGGGAGAAAAGGGAGAAACGCCTGCTGCCCGCCTGGGCTGGAGTCAGGAGACTGGACGAGGCGACCTTAACAGACCATTCCACCCCCACAGCTTCCACTACTGTCCTCCGTGACCTTTCCTCATCTGGCAGCTAGCTGTTCCTGATCTTATCAAAGAGGATGAGCAGCTGACAGGGGTGTGGAGCAGGGGCAGGAGGGAGTGTTTGCTCTGGGCTTTCTGGGTGAGGGAGACAAGCCCTCACTTTCAGCCTCGGATTACAGGGACCCCGAGGTCTTGTACTCAGCCCAAAGCTGCCGTGTGCTGTCAGAAAGTGCCTGCGCCCTCCGTGGCCCGTCTGTGCCCTTGACCGTTCCATCGCTGTCACCGGGCCTCAGCTGCCCCATGGGGTCTGAGTCATTCTTTTGGGAGTCAGAGCCAACTTGGGGATCAGAGACTCTGTAGAAAAGGACCAGTCAGCATTTCAGGAAGGGACCAGGGAGAACAGTGGGCTGAGGGAGGGTTCGGTGCACAGGGTCCTCCCCTTCCCACCCTGGGCATGAACAACCAGGGGTTACTTGGCACATTTTGACCATAAAACTTTCCTGTCATCAAAGACATGCATAGCCCTATTTGTAAAACAGACAAAAGGAGACATGTTCCAACTGGTGCAGACCAGGGGGCTGTGAGCTTCTCACCCGCTGCCTGCATTCCTGAGCAGCCCCTGGGGTCCTCAGGCTCCAGGAACTCCACGTGGGAGCCCCTGTGTCCAGACCAGTCCCAGTCTTCAATGAGTATTACTAAGGAACATGTCGTTGTCGGTGGGCCTTCCTGACAAGGGATATAATCTGAGTTTTATTGCATGATAATGCAAATGTCTCCAATTAGGTTTTAAGCTCTAGATGTAATATCAATGAAACCATTTGCTTGTTTTACTCTACCAGGAAAAGCTGCCCCCAGCTCTCAGCCTGCTTTCTCACTTATAATATGAAAAGTATGGACTAGATTGAATCCAAAATCCCTTCCAGATCCAGTACCCCCCTGCTTCTCTGTTTCTTTTTCTATAAACCAGCATAACCCAGTTGTTACGAACTTGGACTCTGGAATCAGATTGCTTAGGTTCCACATCCACCTCTGCTACTTGCTGGCGGTGTGACCTCGGATGAGTTACTTAGCCATTCTGTTCCTCAGTGGCCTCATCTGCAAGATGTGCTTTTATCAGAGGCTGTTGTGAAGAGTGAATCAGAGGGTTGACAGCAAGGCCAGCCCACAGCAAGCACTCTGTGGACATTAGCTGTCATTCCTAGAAGGTGTCGGACATGGCAGGGGGGTGGGGGGTTGGTCTACACTCCATCTCCTAGAACAGAAGCATCACTCTTTAAGTGTGACTATCTCCTAAGCTAGAGACCACTCAGGTCGGTAAGGTGGAGCTAGTTTTGCTAAGTGCTAAGACTTAGTGTTCTAAGCTGTGGTTTAGGGTTTGGCTCAAAATCCCTCTGCTGGCCTTCCTGTAACCCTGGAGGAAGATTTCACGGGGCATGTCTGGGCTCTTCCAAGGAAGATGGGGTGACCATGCTCAGAATACAAGGGATATCAAGAAAGGTTCATTCCAACAGGAGTTCTAAGGTTGCCCAGGATGGGGCAGGTGCAGTGATAGCCTCGACTCAGGTACACTGATTGGCACCAGAGTTTTGGGGTGTGGAGGGCATAAACTAGTTGGATATAGATTAAGGTGTGGGGTCCAGGCTCAGAGTAGGGGGCTGTGGAGATGAAGAGGGAAAGCGAGGACTCAGAGAGACATGATAGAGGAAAGACCAGAAGATTTGGAGAGAAAGGGATGCAGGGTTGGGACAGAGGCAGCCTTAAAAGGAAAGAGCATAGGGCTTGAAATCAGCAGCCCTCAACTTCACTAAGCAGCTATATGGCTGCTGGTCTAAGAGTTAACTTCTGTGAGCCTTAATTGCTTCACCTATAAAATGGGCTATCACATGCATCCCCCCTAATGAATTCTGGGACTGCTTGAGGTCATGAGCAATGTAATATATTTGTAAGCCACAGAGTCCAATTAAAATGTGGAATTTTTTCCAGT